CGGCCGGCCCCGCTGAAGCATCCAGAACCATCGCGGTGATCGCCATGCGAACCACGTGCTTGCCAATGGAACCTCTCACTTCATGGGAAAACAATCTCACAGACTGGGTGGTGTCTTATGGCTTTTTGGAACGTAAATCCTGTGCAGGACTGCGGTTGCTTATAATGGCTGTACTCTTTGGTTAGTTTACTGACAGAGCTGATAAATGAAAATACAGGTGGAGTTCAAGGCGGCATCACTGGGTTGTATCACAGTTCATACGTGCTGCAGCAGCAAAAGCTGTAATGTGACAGTGTTTACGTTTATTGTTTACATTTGTCAGTTTCACGTGTTGAATGGACCCTGTTTAACTCCGTTCTTGCTGTATTTCCAAAAGCAACAGTGTAGCAGACACTTATAACTCACTGAGTCCTCTCCTTGGAGAGAGTACTCAAGTTACAAACTTTATTTAACCTGTTGCAAGGGCTTTCCCCGATGCTGGTAAAACTGTATTGCTATTGAAGTTCTCCCACCGTGTGCTCCTTTAATGATTATCTGCTGGCTTTTAGATATCAGCCAGACTACTGCAGTTTGGATTCTTGTGGTTTGTTTGGGATTTTTCTTGTTGTGGGTGTTTTTTTTTTTTTTTCCTCAACATGAAGTTAGCGTTTGGGGAAGTTGGTAAATTTAACATTGAGGCGTAGAAAAGTTACTGAAAGTTGTAATTGTTTCAGGGGATGACAATCAGAAGCATAAATTACTTTTACTGAACTTGTATTAAAATTCACAAAGTGTATCTTGGCAAAAGATAAGCTCGTGTGGTGTTTTGTTTTGTTTCATGGTGTTATTGGAAACAAACTCGTGTTTCCTTGCATAGGATAAACTTTGTATAAACAGCACCTTTGGGTATGTTTATATAACTACCCCTACTATTTCCTGCTGAAGTATCTAAGATGCTTTCCCTGCCTGAAGATTCCTGCAGGGAACTGATTCAAAAATCACTCAGGGAAGTGCTTCTCTTGGTAGCTGTGAACATAAACTTGAATTTTGCTCTAGCAGTAGAGAACTCTGTTCTGATAGAAACACATAATTTGAAAAATCAAAGTGAAATGAGCTCAAAATTGGGTTGAACAGGATGCCTATTTCCACTACATGGTCTATTCACTTATTTTAGAATCACTAGAATAAACTTTCATTGTTCCATTGAGTGGAAAAAAGAACATTTTGTTAATATTTGACTTCATTCACAGCAGTGTGCATTTGTTTCTTGAGGGGGTGGATGATTGCAGTCCAGCAGCACCCTGGATCAGCGCAGGGATATATTGCTCAAATCAGAGCCTTCTGAAAGATAGCTTTGCCCTGGGGTGGGTGACTGGCCTTTGATGATGGAATGGAGTGAGTGGGCTGAATAGGAATGCAGGTTTTTTTTCACTCTGGACATGATGTACCTGACACAAAGAGAGATTTACTTTTGAGGGAGAAAAAGGGCTGGGATTCAGGTGCGCTTTTAATTGAGTTGGAGTGACTGGACAGCCAGATTTAGCAATTATTACCGTGGGTTTGTAAGGGAAGAACAAGGCTGTAATCAGGGAAAGGCTTCATCCATCATACAGGAGAGTACTCCTACAAAATTGTGCTGGCTTTAATGGGAATGACGAGTTGGTTCTGCTGGGCTGGCAGTGTCCCCAGGCACTGGCAGAGCACTCTTACTTGCACCTCACCCCTGTTCTCCTCTTTGTGCAAGATAAAGATGTGTTTGGGACCTGTGGCAAGGAAGCCACGCTGTTTGTGCTGTGCTGAGCTGTCGCTGAGCTCATATCCAAAGTTCCTCACAGCTGGGTGTGGAGATGTTCTTGGTTCATCTTTGTGATTTATAATCCATGGAGTTTGATGGAGTGCAGAGGTGAATCAGCCTGCAGTCCCTGTCAGGTGCTGGGTGTAATTCCAGGAGCTCAGACAGGAGTGTGCCTCCTCCCAAATTCATTTCACACATCCAGGGCAGTGCTGGGCAAGGGCTTGCTGGGAGAGCCTGTGCAGCTGCACACAGAGGAGAAAGTATTTCTGGTTCCTGGCACAGCAGCTGAAATTAGGCAAATCCTTGGGAGGGAATCCAGAGGAATGATATTTTTGTGATAAAAATGGCTCTAGGTGACAGAGGGCTAGCAACTGAAGTCGTTATCCTGAGGGAAGGGAAACTAGAATAGAAAGGTGGAAGGTTTTCATTTCCCTGTTCTCTTCATCTGAAACTAAAAGGTGTGCAGTGCTTTCTGCCTGCAGACGTGCAGGGCTTTGTTTGGTGGGGATTTTAGGGCTGCAGCCTGATCAATGGCACTTTTCCTGATGGACAGGAAGCAGGACTGGGCTGTGGGGAGAGAATCTGTGCTGGGAAGGAAAACAATGCTTGAAGTAATTCTCTGTAAGACAATTGACTATGTACGCAAGTAATTAAGGGTGAGCTGTATCAGGACTACTAATTCATTTATTTTCTGCTTTAGGTAGTTGGGAGAGGTGTTCAGGTTTCATGCAATTTGTTGAATGTGACTGAGCTGCGCAATGAAAATTTAGTTCCACTTTTTATAGAGAAGTGTGTAAACTTGAATATTTTACTGAAGTTTGGTATCAGTGTTAACAGCACCTGGACTCAACTGCTGCTGAGGGAGCTCTGGGTTGGTGTTTTTGGTTTTTTTTTCCTCCTCCTTTTTTTCTGGCTTAAGGACTAGAGGTTGGAATAAGTGCCTGGTATTTTTGTCGTCATTTTTGTTTACAGTGAAATGGGCAGAAAAAATCTAGATTGTTTTGGCAAACAATCATCTGATCTCACGTCAGCCCTGAGAATAGGCTGGCAGGAGGTGGCAGAGAGCAGCTCATGGGTTTGGCAACATGCTAAGTTGCTTGTTTTACGGCATGCCTGTTCTGCTAGGGCAAACACTCTAAATTAAGGTTGTCAGGGAGATTGCTGGGATTCCTCTGTTGGTTAATGCTTAACTCAGATGTTCTTTGCTCTCCTCCACGCTTCAGTCACATGGGAAATAGATAATTCTGTCGGGGACCTGGGAAATGGGAGCGCTTGAGGGTGTCAGCTCTGGTTTACAGAGCTGGGGTTGCTTACCAAGGGCCTGGAAAGTTGAGCATCTTTGTGGTGGAGAAGTTGAAGCCAGACTTTTGACAAAAATTCATGGCAGAAGAAGGGGAGACAGAGGTCATAAAAAGGAGCTGGAGAGGAGACTAAAAGGGGAAGATGATTTGAAGGATGATCAATTATTTGTTGGGCAGAGACACTGAGATCACTGTTGTTGGAGGTTTTCAAGTTCTGAACCTGGACAGAGTCTTTAGCATGGTGATGTGAATTTGGTGGGTGCCCTGAGAAGTGAGATCCTTTCAAACATCTGTGGTTCTGTGAGTCAGCACTTGAGAAGAGGTGCTATAACAGGATTTGGGGTGCTCTGGGAGTGGTAGAGCACTGCCTAATTAGAAATTACCATGGCCAGTGCTTTTTGGTGGTGTTTTTAATTCCAGTTAGTATCTCATGTCACTGTAGGATTAGCAGAAGCTCGTCGTGGCCAGGACATGCTCACACTCACTGCTGTGCCCCCAGGCTCCCTCCAGGTCTGTGTGGGAGCTGCTCAGTGCAGGATTCTCCACTTCCTACAGGCCACGTTTCTGAAAGGGGCTGCCTTCTGAGTGTGATGTGGCCTTTAGAATCAGATTAGGAGGAAGATGTTGTGTAAATAACTTGCAAAACAAATTGTTAGGGAGAAGAGAGAGCTCCTTTAATTGGAGAGCAAGAGGATTTGGTGATTCACCCAAGGAGCATCTCATATTTTCTTTTAAAAGCAGAAACTGTTTGTGCTTAACACTGAAGTCTTTTAAACCATGTGAGCTTTGAGAAAAGCTAGGAACTCAGCATTCTGACTCATGTGCCATAACCTGGCATCAAACAGTGGGATAAAAGTTTTTAGGGAGTTACTTTAAAATAGAAGTAAGCTGAGTGTGCTTGGGAGAGGTTTCCCAGCTGTGCTGTACCACCCATATCAGTGCAGGAGTGGGGTGATTTAAGTTGTGCCTATCAAACCCTGTCAGACTGTGTGCTGCAGGACCCACCAAAAAAACCAACAAACTCTGTTCTTCTTGCATGACTCCTTTAGATATCTGTGCACTGCATACGTGAACTATGAGTCAG